GGCTACTCTGCTTCCAGTCCAGCTTCCTGCTAATACATTCTGGGAGGCATCAGATGATATCTCAAGTGCTTAGGGCCCTGCCACCAGTGAGGGAGACCCAGGTAGAATTACCGGCTTCTGGCCCACTCCTGGTATTGCAGATATTTGGGGAGTGAACAGCAGATGGAAGACTTTCTTTTCTTTCTTTCTCTCTCTCTCTCCTCAGTCTGCCTTCCACGTAGATGAAAATAAATATATAGACATCAAAAAACTAGTAAGTTTATTTTTGTGCAGAAAAGTTTGAAATCCATACACGCTTTTTTCACAATGCATGTTTCCTGCAAAGTTTTTGAAGACTGCTCGAATTCCTGGATCATCCATTGAAGATAAGCATCATACCTACAGCTACAGGGAGACTGCAGGTAGCCAGCACATTTGTTGCTGCCTTCTTTTCTGATATTCATGTTGACAGTTGCTAATCAATCATGCTGATGCCAGACCCTTCTCCAATCAGTGCCCCAGATTGCCATTGCCATTTCTATCTGATTCCTGGCCTAGTGACATTTCTCTGACAACTACATATCTCTGTGTCTATTATTATTTGCTAACGGTATTTGAGGATCTAGGGTTGGAAGCCTTGAGGGTAAGAGACACTTCATGCCTAGAGTTTTCAGACCTTTTTAATGCCTTTTCAACTTGCAAATGTGCACACCGGAGTCCTGCATGATGATTTTCAAGTGCGGCTGCTCAAGAGTGCGGTGTGCTATTGCACACTGGCAATGATCTCCTGAAGGTGCTACCATGTTCGATTTTAGTTTTTTACTCATTCTTTCCTGTATTGCTAAACCCCAGGCCCCTGTCTCTACCCCAACACTGTCAATTCTAGTTACTCAGTGTAGACACACGGCTGAGCTATGTGGTCCACGGAAAATCTACCCTGGTCACTCTCCACACATCTCACTTCTTGAATAAATTGAGAAAAGTGGTTCCTATGAAAGAGTGACACAGATTTGGATTTAGAAGCAATGTGAAGAGTGAGCCCACCCTCGGCTCAGACTTGTGCTCTCACTGTCTGATGAGGGAAGCGAGTCAGCCTTTCTGAGCTTGTTCTTTAGCATGGAACTGAAAATGACAACTGTTGTCTTATTTGCCACTTAGGTTGCTTTGAGAAGTAAAAGAAACAGATAGAGTGGTTTCATATCATTAATTGAAGTTTATAGGTTTTCAGGAACTTCACCCAAGAGCATCAATAAAAGGGAACCACTAGGTTTAAAAATTTTGGTATTGTTTTACTGAGTAGGCCACACATTTTTATCTCTTGACATTTCTCATGTGCAATTAGCCATTTGGGCAAGATATTTACTTGAAGAAAAGTAGAGGCTGAATTTACATGTGTAGTAGCATAGCTAAATGTCTTTGGATGGACTACTTGGGTAGTTGTCGCTCCCCCTCTTCGTGGAGGAACGACACAGGACCCTGCGTTGTTCTTTTGTCTGCTCGGCCCTCCCAGGGTTTGCTGCTGGTTCTTCCCGGGTTGGCTACTGTCCCTTCCACCTCCGTGGAAGGGCAGTTCCCCCTGGCCACTTTCCCCACTTCCGCAGGGGATGCGGCATACCGCTGGCCGGCTCTCTCGGGGGCTGCTCAGATGTTCCTCAGGTGTTCCCCTTAGATGTTCCTGGTGCATGTTGTCTCTCTCCTCCTTTATAGTCCTCTTCCACCAATCCCAACTCTGCTACCCACACGCCGAGTACGCTGCTCTCCTCCAATCAGGAGCAGCTCCTGCAGCTTGTCAAGTTGGTGAGAGGCAGCTGGGTAGAAGCTGTTGCCTCCTCTCCCAGCGCCATATTGTGGGAGAGCAGATGCATAGAATAAGTCTTAATTCCAGTAACTTAGTCCAGTCCGGGTTGCTCCCCACAGATCCCCCTTTCTTTTTATTTTTTGGTGTTGATACGCGCCTGTCTTCGGTGCCCCGCGGCACACACTCTGCTCTGCTTGCTGGAGTTGCTCACAGGTGCTTACAAGCCCTACCAATCAGGCAAACCGAGTCCGGGTCCTCTCTTCGCCATGTTGTGAGGAGGTTTTTAGGCGCTGATGCGTGCCTGTGTTCGGTGCCCTGCAGTGCATGCTCTGCTCTGCTAGAACTGCCTGCAGGTACTTACAAGCCCTAACAATCAGGCAAACTGAATCCAAGCCTTCTCATTGCCATATTGTGGGGAGACTTATTGGTGTTGATAACGTGCCTATCTTCGGTGACCTGCAGCTCATACTCTGGTTGAGCTGCCTGCTGGTGCTTATTGCCTTACTAATCAGGCAGACCGAATCCAAGCCTTCTCATTGCGGTATTGTGGGGAGACTTATTGATGTTAATTCGTGCCTGTCTTCGGTGACCTGCGGTGCATAAGCTGCTAGCCGCCTGCAGGTGCTCACCACCTCCCTAATCAGGCAGACCGAATCCAAGCTCTCTCATTGCCATGTTGAGGGGAGGCCTTATTTTTCTCTATTTCTCTATCTCCGGGCATTCCTATTTCTCCTATTTTACTTCTATCTACCAGCATTCCTATTTCTCTCATTTTACTTCTAAACTTCTGTTTCTCTTATCTCCGCGGCTTCCCGGCGCCCGCCCCGAGGCTGCTTCTCGGCGGCTTCCCGGCTCTGAGCCGCTTCAGCCCGCGCTTCTCTCATCTGCGCGGCTTCCCGGTGCCCGCCCTGCGGCGGGCTCCCGGCTCTGCGTGGCTCGGCTTCGCGCGCACACTCCGCGGTCTCCACGCCCTTCGCGCCCGCACCACAGCCTCGCGCCAGCCCCGCGTTCCCTATCTATTCACGCCCCGTGCTCTCTCTGCACGCGGCAGCTTCCGCGAGTCACACAGCCCCAGCTCACGTTTCCGCCACTGGTATTCAATCTAAGTTCCCTGGACTAACCTGGCGAATTCCAACCTGGCGGCCCACGTCTCTGCCTCTGGTTCCAGATGTTCGCCTTTTGCTCCCCGGGCTGACTTGAAGAATTCCAAGCTGGCTTACGTCTCCGCCTCGGCCTGCACTCGCGGCTTCAATTTCCCTAACATTTTTCTCTACCCGGTATGTTTCCTAACTTTTCTTCCAACAATATTCTCCTCTCATTTCTCCTGGCCTCTCCCCATAGTCCGCATCCGAGTCCAAGCCTCCTCCAGGTTTCACTTTCGCTTTCAATCTCCTAGCTTCCCCGCCTCCTCCAGGTTTCACTTTCGCTTTCAATCTCCTAGCTTCCCCGCCATAGTCCGCATCCGAGTCTATGAAAGCTTTCAGTTTCGCTTTCAATCCTAACTTCTTTCCCACAGTCCATATCCAAGTCTATGCCTAGGCTTTCGATAGCTTCTTCTGGCACATTTTCCGTCCGGCTTTCCCTAGGCTCTTTGCTAGTCTCTCTCTCCGGTATTTTCCCACTTCTTCCCGTTTCTTCCCTCCTAAGTTTCCTATCCGAGTCACGGCACCATTATGTCGCTCCCCCTCTTCATGGAGGAACGACACTAAACCCTGCCTAGGCTTCATATCCAAGTCACAGCACCATTATGTTGCTCCCTCTCTTCGTGGAGGAACGACACAGGACCCTGCGTTGTTCTTTTGTCTGCTCGGCCCTCCCCGGGTTTGCTGCTGGTTCTTCCCGGGTTGGCTACTGTCCCTTCCACCTCCGTGGAAGGGCAGTTCCCCCTGGCCACTTTCCCCACTTCCACAGGGGATGCGGCATACCGCCGGCCGGCTCTCTCGGGGGCTGCTCAGATGTTCCTCAGGTGTTCCCCTTAGATGTTCCTGGTGCATGTTGTCTCTCTCCTCCTTTATAGTCCTCTTCCACCAATCCCAACTCTGCTACCCACACGCCGAGTACGCTGCTCTCCTCCAATCAGGAGCAGCTCCTGCAGCTTGTCAAGTTGGTGAGAGGCAGCTGGGTAGAAGCTGTTGCCTCCTCTCCCAGCGCCATATTGTGGGAGAGCAGATGCATAGAATAAGTCTTAATTCCAGTAACTTAGTCTAGTCCGAGTTGCTCCCCACAGTAGTTTTACACGATGTGAACTTTATCCCAAACAACACTTGAAACCTCTGCCAGTTGCACTATTTTTTTGTTGAAAGAGCCTTATATAGGCTGTTGTGAGTGTATGGAGAAAATACTTTCTTTCTTTCTTTCTTTCTTTCTTTCTTTCTTTCTTTCTTTCTTTCTTTCTTTCTTTCTTTCTTTCTTTCTTTCTTTCTTTCTTTCTTTCTTTCTTTCTTTCTTTCTTTCTTTCTTTCTTTCTTTCTTTCTTTCTTTCTTTCTTTCTTTCTTTCTTTCTTTCTTTCTTTCTTTCTTTCTTTCTTTCTTTCTTTCTTTCTTTTTTTTGACATGCAGAGTTAGAGAGAGAGACAGAGAGAAAGGTCTTCCTTCTGTTGGTTCACCCCCCAAATGGCTGCCACGGCCGGCGTGCTGTGCCAATCCGAAGCCAGGAGCCAGGCGCTTCCTCCCGGTCTCCCATGCGGGTGCAGGGCCCAAGCACTTGGGCCATCCTCCACTGCCTTCCCGGGCCACAGCAGAGAGCTGGACTGGAAGAGGAGCAACCGGGACAGAACCGGCACCCCAACCAGGACTAGAACCCGGAGTACCAGCACTGCAGGCGGAGGATTAGCCTAGTGAGCTGCGGCGCTGGCTGGAAATACTTTTTCAAACACAGATGCAGACCCAGGGGACAGAAATCTCTGCAATAACTGTATCAAACAAAATCAGCATTTTTTTAATCATCTTGTGGTAGGTTGAGAAAGGATTTCTTATTTCTACTTTCTTTTATCTTTAATAAAGTGGAAAATAATTCCTAGTTCAACTGAACAAAATTGTTAAAAGATAATCCTAAAAAGCACTGTACTATTAAAAAAAATCTGAGAACTTAGAGAATGGAGTCATTTAAAAGAGAAAAAAAACCACAGAGAAGCATTGGGATGATTTTGCTGGTGACAGTCAAGTCTTAAACAAAACAACAAAACATTAAAGCTTAAGTCAGATTCTTAAAAAATTCGGTTACCTGTTAAACCAGTCATCTGTGTATCGAGGGTAAGGATAGGGGTCATTGCTGCTGAAGTCATAACTTGCTTCTGCATTCTGAAAAACACAACATATAGCATTGGGTCAGTCAAGCCATGGGCCTGGTAAAGGGAAGATTATGGTCCCTCCCAGGAGTGCTGTGTTAATGGTCTGTGCTGGGTCGGCCCTTGTAAGACTGTGACAGAGCTGAGTGTCCCTGGAGCTGTCCATTCTCCTGCACTACCCTTTCCCAGGCTTCCTCGTCCCCTCCTATGTCAAGCACTGGGCAAGTCTGAGCTCAGTGCTCTTCAGGACAGTCTTCCTTCTGAAGCTGGGGTAGGCCTTGTGGGTTGGCAGGTTTCTTCCAAGAATCCGGGGCTCATGGTAAGCTGTTTTGGTCCCTTGTTGGACTCATGGCAAGAAAGTTCTCGTTCTCATGTCAGCAGTGAGACAGCCCCTAGAGTTTTCCTGCTTTTTACAGGAGGCTCACTTGCAGCTCCCTACCTCAGATTGGCATAAAGCAGTTCTCTTTCTCCTTACTGGTTACATCTTTGCCCCATCTGATTTTCTGCTAGTTCACTCCCCAAATGGCTCAACAGCCAGAGCTGAGTTACCCAAAACTAGATGCCAGGAGCTTTGTTCAGGTCTACCATTTGGGTACAGGGGCCCAAGGACTTGGACCATCTTCTACTGCTTTCCCAGACCATAGCAGAGAGCTGGATTGGAAGTGGAGCAGCCAGGACTCACACCAGTGCCCACATGGGATGCCAGCACTGCAGGCAGTGGCTTTACCCGCTAAGCCACAGTGCCGGCCTTTATACTGTCTTTACTTTCTCCTCTTACCTCTTTCTCCCAAGGTGTTACGCTGAGAGCCACAATCACAAACCATGAGGGTGTTCCGGCCCCTCCCCCTGCCATTTCCTTCACGAATCTGCCTTTCAGGGCAGACAGGCTCACTCTGCCAGCAGAAAGGCCAGGCTCCTGCTGCCTCCCCACTTCTGTGCATCAGCCCTGAAAATCCAGACAACCTCCGTCTCTGCCAAGGGATCCTCTGAGTGTAACTTTTACTGTCCCTTTCATCCATCTGCTCATCTCCCCTAATATTTTTAAAAAACATTTATTTATTTATTTAAGAGGCAGAGTTAAGAGACAGAGAGAGAGAGAGGGAAAGGCAAAAGAGAGGTCTTCATCCGCAGGTTTACTCCCCAGATGGCTACAACGGCCGGAGTTGTGCCGATCTGAAGCCAGGAGCCAGGAGCTTCTTTTGGGTCTTCCATGTGGGTGCAGGGGCCCAAGGACTTGGGCCATTTCCCACTGCTTTCCCAGGTCATAAGCAGAGAACTGGCTGGAAGAGCAGCAGCCAGGACACTCAGCAGCGCCCATATGGGATGCCAGCCCCACAGGCATAGGCTTAGCCTATCACACCACAGTGCCAGCCCCTCATGTCCATTATTTATTTTTTATTTAGATGTTCAGCTGGTCTGCCTTTTGTTTGTGTCTGTGATGAGCAATGACCCACCCCATCTGGGCCACTGCCTTCTCTGCTGGCTCAGGGATGCCAATCTCTTGGAAGCTCCCCTTTCTGTATGTCTTTCTTTTCCTCCTTGTTTTTGGGGTCTGAAATAAAGACTCCAGAGAGCTTCCTGGTCTACAGTACACACTGGGTGAGAAAACACTGAGTGAGTTGCGCAGTCTAACTCTGGCATTTCTTGATTCCACAGGCCCTGAGACATTTTCAGGCACTGTGCTCCATCATGAGCTAAGACACTTTAGCTGACAAACCTAATGTATTAATGGCTTCATGTTTTTCAGAGCCCATGGATCAGTTTCATTAATTTTTGTTTTGATTTGTTGGATGACAAGGGGCTGATCATCACAGTTGTTGTAATGACCAGAATTATAATACTAAATTATTTAAATAAATGTATTTTGGCAGGAATTACCTTGACATTTGGCCCAGTCGTTTTTGCCTTGAGTCTTAAATATGTTTATTCTTTGTTTTGGAATCCAGGTCTCCACCCATCACCTGGTCCTTAGAGAACAAATCTTCTGTCTCTACTGGCCATAAAGATTGGCCTGTGCATTGTTTTTCTCCTCCTTCCAAACTTATATCCAAGTTGTTTTCATTGACTTTTTAAAAAAATATTTATTTATTTGAGAGGCAGAGTTACAGACAGAGGGAGGGAGAGAGGGAGAGGGAGAGGGAGAGGGAGAGAGAGAGAAGGCATGCATGCGTGCGAGAGAAAGTCTTTCATCTGCTGGTTCATTCCCCAAATGGCTGCAACAGTTGGAGCTGGGCGGATCTGAAGCCAAGAGCCAGGAGCTTCCTCTAGGTCTTCCATGTGGGTGCAGGGGCCCAAGCACTTGGGCCATCTTTCACTGATTTCTCAGGCCAATAAGACGGAGTTGGAATTGAAGTGGAACAGCCAGGACTCAAATTGGTGCCCATATGGGATGCTGGTGCTGCAGGCAAAGGCTTAACCTACTACACCAAGTTGGCCCCTTTCATTCACTTTTTTAAAAGATTTTATTTATTTATTTGAGAGGTGGATTTATACAGAGAGAGACAGACAGACAGAAAGGTCTTCTATCCACGGGTTCACTCCCAAATGGCTGCAACAGCCAGAGTTGTGTCGATCCGTAGCCAGGAGCCAGGAGCTTCTTCCAGGTCTCCCACATGGGTGCAGGGGCCCAAGTGCTTAGGCCACCTTCTATAGCTTTCCCAGGCCATAGCAGGGAGCTGGATCGGAAGAGGAGCAGCTGGGACTAGAACCGGCGCCCATATAGGATTCTGGTGCCACAGGCAGATGATTAACCTACTGCACCACTGCGCCAGCCCCTCATTCACTTCTGAAGTTTAATTCTGATTTTGGTCTACTGCTTTGGTCTGTAGCACACCCTCTTAGATTGGGCATTTTTTTTTCTGACTTCCCTTGAGATATTTGGGTTTCAGTTCTTTTTAGGGGCACTATTTTGAAACAGTAAGCTAGCTGCCTTCTCCAAGTTTTGTTCTGTTACCCCTAATCTTCCCTGAATTCTTCAGAGGTAAGAGCACTCTTCGGCTGAGGTAGCAGGGTAGGAATATTGAGAGAAACAGGTTAACATTTTTCTCTTTTGGCTTCAAAGTCAAGTTGCACTGACATTTAAGTAACAGATTTGGAAGACTCTTTGCTTAGTCTTGTTAGTTTCTCCATAGAAGAGACTAGAATTTTCTGGCCTAAAGGGATTTGTACTGGAAATTTGCCACAAGCAGCCATGTGGAGCCCTCCAGAGTGGCCCCAATTGCTCCCTTTCTTCTGAGCTGTGTTCTGGGGATACCAGGGGGCTTGTTGGAAGGTCCAGCCTTGGGGAGGTCAGGGACTCACTGCACAACAGGGACATGGAATCCCAGATCAGAAGTGGCTCTGTGAGGTGCTGCAGCTGACAGGTTTGGAATAGCAACACTCTGTGTTTCCTGCTTCCCAGTGCAGTGCAGGGCACCGTAGAATATTCCATGGGAAGCTGATGTTGTCGAGCTGACACTGTGTTGGACACCCACCAGCTGGCCTAGCAAGTTCTGTGGCCACAACAATGATCCAGAGTTTAGGGAGGACCTGCTTGAACTGCTGACTGAGGCCAGCAAGGAAAGGGGATGCTGCAGAAGCCAGAGTAGGCAGATGATGGAACACTGGCACCAGGTCCCTGTCACCTTCTCTTTGGCAGGTTGGGGGACAGTTCTGGAGACAAGGAAGGGGCCAGAATCTCAGCTGACCAAGATAAAATTTCTATCATCAGTACAATTGGGCTGACAGACAGAAATTAAGTTCAATTAGAGAAAAACCAAATGTCAGCACTTTTGTGCTTGCTGCTTGAGTGACTGGTTTCCAAAGCTTTCTGTCCTGGCCTGTCTGGCTGGCTCATAATTAGCTCCCATTCCTGACTCTGGAGAAGACTGCTCACCCTATGATTGGTGGGGTTACAAGGAGGAGTTGGGGAATTTGGACAGCAGAACCTGTAGCCAAGAACCCATGGATTCTGCAAGCACTTTTATAACAAGAAGAAAAGACCAGGTGTTGAAATAGGAACTACAATAATTTTTCTGTCTTCACAATGAATTTGGTGACTGATACTTAATTCCTCAGTTAACAGTCTATGCTGAGCATCAAGCAGAGCTAACAGTTGTTTTTCTTGCCTGGCTTTATGTCTTCTGGCTAAAAAATCAAATGGTTTATAGCAAGAAAGAACGATGGCAAGCTTTGTGTAAGGGCTGTGTTTATGCTTTGATAGACAAACTGAATCATTTATTGATTTGAATTGCAGTGTGACCACCCCATAAAACTTTCTACATTCAGGAAATAAGTTAAACTGGCCTTGAATTAGACTGGATTTTTCTACAATGCTCATTTATGTGGACATTTTGGGGAGGCAGTACTTAAAGCTCTTGTCATCCTAAGCTAAGCCAGATGTTAGTTTTTGTTTGGACTTTTCCAACTAATTTCTACAATGCATTAGTCTTTTCTTGCTTTAGAAAATACTCTTTGTTTAGTGAACATAATTTAATCTTTGATGATTCAGGATCAGGATGATTCAGAGTCATCATTAAGAACTTGAATTATCATTGTACCATTACATAGAAAGTGAGAAGACTGGGTTGAATCCAAACTGACCTCAGAGCTTCCCTGGAAGTTATTTCTGGAAGAAACTTCTGATAATGGCTCATTTTCTCTTAAACAGTTGGACATAGGGAGGAAAAAAATCACTTCTGATATTTATTATATCTAAAGCTTAATTTCTGAATATTTGAATGATAAAAAGCAAATTAGATTTGTTCTTAGGCTAGAAAGTTCAATAATTAAGAGTTTGGCATTGTTTGCCCTGTGCACTTTTATTTTTTAAAAATTTATTTATTCATTTGAAAGGCAGAGTTATGGGATGGGGGATGGGAATATTCCATCTACTGGTTCATGCCATAATTGGTTGTAATGGCTGGTGAGCCAGGAACCTAGAACTCTATCCAGGTCTCCCACATAGGTGCAGGGGTCCAAGAACTTCGTCCATCTTCTGCTGCTTTCCCAGGCACATTAGCAGGGAGCTGGATT